TTTTTAATAGAATAAAAATCTAACGGAAACTTTCTTTGTTTCAGGTTATGAAAGGCCAGTTCGAACACGTCACCCTCACAACGGGGTCGTTTCTCAGCATTATCGTTCGGTAAGGGCAGCCCTTCGATCCGGTCGATCGTTCGATACCACCCCTAAAAACTCTGATTCGGACGCGTCGTCCATCACTCGAATCTATTCGGAACAGCACGTTAAATTAACACTCGAATGTACCGTGAACGTTAATTTTACAACGAGCGTGTGGCTGAAAGAAGGCCAAGTAGTCCAGACCATCCTTAAGGACAATATTAACAATAAAAGGGTTAGCGGGCATCGGTTTCTTTTAGATAATCGCGGAAATTTGATTATCGACAATGTGAGACTCGAAGACGACGGAAAATGGCAGTGCGAGGTGGAAGATATGGGCTTCGTGGTAGCCGGGAAACCCATTCAATTAACGGTCCTTGGTAAGTCAAGTTTCCTCTATTTTTAATTGGTTATTGTCTTCGTATTAATCAATTGGTTCGTCTAAATTGCAATTTGGTTGAGCTGTTCTCTTACTGCTGGAATATCCTCTATCCGGCTCGAAGGACCAAACCAGGCAAAATCACAATTAAATTAATTTAGACGTAGACGGTTAATTAAACAAGAGCCCGAAATTGCCTATTATACACACTTTCAATCTTTCCTAGCATATGTTCTTGTCAAAGCGGGTCTGTTATCATTATTATTATTGTCCCTTTTCAAAAAAAGCTTTTTGTGACACAATGAGGTACCTACCTACTTTATTTTGAATTGAACTTGAAAACGTTTTCTTAATTGGCCATAAAATTTCCCAGTTAATTACGACCCCAATTTATCTACCTATAGCTCATTTAAATTCTCCTTTACACAAAACCCAAAAGTTTAATTTTAGAAAGCCATCTCTCGAGATCTTAGTTAGTGGTTATAAAAGAGTCTCCTTATTTTAACAACCAACAGCTGCGGGCGTCTATTGTCGTTAAGCTTTCGTCGCTTGTTCGCCCACAACGATGACATGTTTGGAAATTGCTAATTTGTTATAAAATTTATAGTTGGAAGTGACGTTGTTTACAAAAAAACAAATTATCGCAAAATGCCGTTAAGTTTACCAGTGGTAAAATATGCTTCTCCATAAAACTACATTTTAAAAAAAATTCTTTTTATCTTCCAGTTTTGGATAAATAGTTTTAACTGTACCCGAAATAAAAATGTTCAGTCTCTCAGAGTCTCTGAAAGTGAGACTCGAGTCTTCGTCTCTCATCGAGTCTCTATGGTGTCGCTGAGANTTCTTTTTATCTTCCAGTTTTGGATAAATAGTTTTAACTGTACCCGAAATAAAAATGTTCAGTCTCTCAGAGTCTCTGAAAGTGAGACTCGAGTCTTCGTCTCTCATCGAGTCTCTATGGTGTCGCTGAGAAAGACTGTCGAGAGACCATCAAAAATACTGTTTAGCGTCTCTGAACGAGAGACTCGAGTCGCTCATAGAGAGATCCTCATTTCGTATTCAGTCTCTGAACGAGAGACTCGAGTCGCTCATAGAGAGATCCTCATTTCGTATTCAGTCTCTGAACGAGAGACTCAAATCTCTCAATAAGTGGTGTCTCGATAGACATGGTTAAAATTTTCTAAGTTCAACATATTTCAGAGATCCCAGTCTTTCTACGAGAGACTCCAGTCTCTCAATTTTTCAGTTTTATTCATTCAGTCTCTCTGTGAGAGACTCGAATCTCTGAATCAACAATTTTATCGCTCGAGTCTCTCATACAGAGACTGTGAGAGATCCATAAAAACACCTAAGCAATAACTGAGAGACTGTGAAAGACTGTGGGAGACGCTCTCAGAGACGCTGAAAGACTGAGAGACTGAAGAGATTGAAAATTTTGTCTAGGGTAACTATTTAACGAAATTGCAAATGCAATATTAGTTAAGGCATAAATTCATTGAATTTTAGGCCAGACTACTTTAACCATGTACAAGCTTTTCTCGAATTGAAACGAAAACAAGTTGCATGGAAGAATTTTGCGACGATCAATGAAATATGTTTTTCGTGATTTTACCGGTTTATTTTTATTCCTTTTATTTTGGCTGCAAGGTGAAAGCTGGGACATACGAGACATTACAACGAGATGATCAAAAATTTCTGTTTGGTATTCCTGTCAGGGAGTCTCTGCCCGGTTTTCTATAAGAAATATTAACTTGGAACCACCTCGCCAACCGACCGACACGACGCGACGCGATGCGACGGAGGCTTCGTTCGTTCCATCGTCCGTTTCCCTTCACAGTTTCCCAACACCAGAGGAATCGATAAACCACCCCAACTTACATCGTCGCTTGCTTATGACATTGTCTTTCGCCCCTGATGACGATCGAGACTACCCTTCGGAAAGAAAACACACAGACATATACAAACATAAAAGCCAATTGATACTGAATACATACAAATGAACTGATACGTGCCTGCACCTAATACTCACTTAAAATTTTCATTTCTAACACGCTTCTCTATAATGTGTGAGTTGACGTAATATCCAAATACAGGCGGTGCATCGCCATCTAATGGGCATTTACTGCTACTGAAGTTTTTAAAGCGTCAGAGAAGACCTTCATTGGCTTGACATTAATCTTGCACATCAGACTTCACATTCGTCTTTACTAAACACTCTTGGTTATGTTCATAGAGTAAAATTAAATTTGTGTTTATAACTTTCAGGTTTTTATTGCTTTGACAGTTGTTTCGTCACTTGATGACTCCTTCAGAAGCTACATTGTATCACACACAGTTTTAAATGTTATTCTTATACGGTAAAGTCTAATAAAAATAATTTTCTACTTTTTGAATAATGAGGTTTTTGCAATTTGATACTGGTATGATGGTGGTATGGTGTTCTTATATCGTTTTCCAATGCTATCGTCTATTTATTTATATATATATTTTTTAATAGAATAAAAATCTAACGGAAACTTTCTTTGTTTCAGGTTATGAAAGGCCAGTTCGAACACGTCACCCTCACAACGGGGTCGTTTCTCAGCATTATCGTTCGGTAAGGGCAGCCCTTCGATCCGGTCGATCGTTCGATACCACCCCTAAAAACTCTGATTCGGACGCGTCGTCCATCACTCGAATCTATTCGGAACAGCACGTTAAATTAACACTCGAATGTACCGTGAACGTTAATTTTACAACGAGCGTGTGGCTGAAAGAAGGCCAAGTAGTCCAGACCATCCTTAAGGACAATATTAACAATAAAAGGGTTAGCGGGCATCGGTTTCTTTTAGATAATCGCGGAAATTTGATTATCGACAATGTGAGACTCGAAGACGACGGAAAATGGCAGTGCGAGGTGGAAGATATGGGCTTCGTGGTAGCCGGGAAACCCATTCAATTAACGGTCCTTGGTAAGTCAAGTTTCCTCTATTTTTAATTGGTTATTGTCTTCGTATTAATCAATTGGTTCGTCTAAATTGCAATTTGGTTGAGCTGTTCTCTTACTGCTGGAATATCCTCTATCCGGCTCGAAGGACCAAACCAGGCAAAATCACAATTAAATTAATTTAGACGTAGACGGTTAATTAAACAAGAGCCCGAAATTGCCTATTATACACACTTTCAATCTTTCCTAGCATATGTTCTTGTCAAAGCGGGTCTGTTATCATTATTATTATTGTCCCTTTTCATTTCTCTGTCTCTGTCTCTTTCTCTCTATTTCTGTCACTCATTATCTTTCTGCTTGGCGTAATTTCTACGTGTAGAAGCGTTGTGCTGGCTGCCCAGTTTTCTTGTCAACATTCACACAATAGAGACCGGGGAAACACAGATCGTTACCCTAATGGCATTACATTGTACAACGGAATCAACCATATCTATTATGTCCCGTTTCACTCGGAATAACATTTCACTTATGTGCGTCCACGTTATAAAAAAAAACGGAAACAATTCGACAAACCCATAAAAAATGAAGAAACTGTAAAAAAAAGCAACTTTATCGAGCCTTTTTTGATCCCAACGATTCCTAAATTGCAGATCATAAAGTTCTGTATTCATGGAAATAAAATTTTATTCATTTTTCATTTGTTAACCCATACGATGAATATTGAGGCGACGCCACTGCTTAATTATATAAATAATTCCTATTTTGTGTCAAATGAAATTTGAATGTCCGTATAGTAGGTTGTTAAATGTAAAACATACACGTAATTGCATGTTTTTCCTACCTATCTAGTCTCAAAATTTTTTATTTATTTTTTTTTGACAAATAAAGCACGGAAATGTAGTTCATTTATCATTTCTCGAAAGCTTCGAGGCGTTTTACTGAATAAAAAATAACCAGTTTTTAAATTAATCAAAGCGATCGGGGAAGCAGCTGGATGAAACAAAACACTCACTGGCGTTTGTTTAACGCTGACATTTATTTTTGCGGAAAATAAATGGAGGAATTTAAATGGGATACAGCACATCTTCCTTGTCTCTGTTTCTTTTTTTTTTTTTTGGTACTTATACAATTTGTCAAATTTTTAATTTAAAGAAAAAGAATTAACTATAAAATATAAGTAGCAGTCACGAAATGACTTGAATAAAATTAGCTATCCAAACACTGTATAACAAAAATTACATATTATCCATTTAGAGAGCCTTTGTCTTTCTTTGTAAATGTGGGCTCTGAGGAAAAGAAAAGGGATGCGGTGTTATAGGAGGATGTTAAAAATACTGTGGATGAAGAAGGTAGTTTCTACCTAGCGTTTTAAGAAAATATAGATACTGATCCGGCTCGAAGGACCAAACCAGGCGAAATCACAATTAAATTGATTTAGGGGTAATTATTCATACTTTCAATCCTTCCTGTTCCTGTTCAAATTATTATTAGTGTCCCTTTCTTTCTTTTTCTTTCTTTGTCACTCATTATCCTTCTGCTTGGCGTAATTACTAATTGAAGCTTTAGTTTCTACCTAGTGTTTTAAGAAAATATAATGATACTGATGGATATTATCGTAATAATAAAAGATAGCATTAGCGTAATTTAAATTAATTTGGCTCATGGACGTGAAAAGTTAATTTTTACATTACTTTTATATCTCAGACGATGATACCTATAGATCATGTAGGTTTAGTCTGATAATAAAACGCAATGTCCTGCAGCAACGATAACAAATGTACACTGTATATAAGCTCTCCGGATGGGACTCCGTCTACTAAAATAGAGTATTTTGCATTGGAAAATGGAAGCTTAACATTTGTGACGTTATGATAAACAATAGTTATTATTAAGGTAACGTCCAGATGTGCACTTAACGTATTGCCTAAACCTAGTGCACGTAGCGGCCTGGCACGCTTGTGTTTACTGCAACTGCATATTGTATCCAGGGAGAATGTATTAACTTTGCATAATATGCAAAAGCAGACAAGTTTTACATTTACCATATACTCACTACATAAACATGGACGGGGCGTACCTACACGTATTACCCCCGCATAACCTTCGGCTCTAAAAGCGCTTTTATTACCCCGGTCTCATATAAAACTCACCTGAAGAAACACCTTGTGATACAATTTAGTAGCAAATTCAAAATTGAACAGGTTTAACGACTTCAAGAATTCATGATCTTTTTAATCCCTTGAGGTACCATCATCATCATAAAGTCGTCAGTCCCAAGACTGGTTGGACACGCACCTCTCAGAACATCCTACATCCTTAACTATTTGCTGAAGTAATCTACCTCTACTCCTCTCAACTGCTGTTGTTTCTGCCTCTAATTTGTCTCTGACTAGCCCTTCATGCTTGAAAAGGTGTCCTACCAACCATAGAGTCCTCTGTTTTCCCATTGTTTTTATACTTAATTTACTTCATCTAGCGATGTGCCCCTTCCAATGTCTTGGATGCGCGCTAGCAAAATCGTAGGTAGGGAGAAAAAAGCTCATTATACTCTCGACTCTTGTTCATTAAACATACTTTTTCATACAGTACCTGCCAAAAGTTTTGTTCAATCATGAATAGTTAGTGCGAGTCGAAAACAAGCGTTAAAGTCTTTAATATATCTTCAAATATAAATAAACATCTCTTTGATATTTTCAGTAGTAAATGGTACCAATAACAGCACATTTGAGCAATGCAATTGTAGTGGATAAAATGGTCAATTTTTCCGTGCAGTATTGTACGGATTATACGCTTCTCACCGGTTAAGAGTTTGGCCGAGAGTTGTCTCCTTCCTTTTCTGGCCTAGTGCTATTTTTTTCTAATTTGCGCCGGTCAAATTGAAGGTCACATCGCTACAGAAAGTAAACGAAGTATAATACCTCTTCATTTCTAACCTTCTCTATCCACGATACTTTCATCATTCGCTGGTAATCCTGGGTAGACAATATTCGCATTTTCCTAAATCATACATACGTCTATCCAATCTAATCTGTTTTCATCTGCCCGTTCTAATACTCCTGTTTCTGTTTCTAATATGTCTCTCACCAGTTCTTCGTGTGTCTGAGTCTAATTTAATTGTCGACTCCATAGGTTTTTTTGTTTAGAATTTTCTTCCAGAAATTTGTACTGCCCTGTATTAAAAAATGTCTTCAAAATTCGTAGTCCATTTCCATCATTCAAACAACAAAATAAGAAAAGTGCGTGAGTATTTTGTATTTCATTTAATTATATCGTTTGGAATATTAAAATTGTATTTATCGCCCTCGGCCGTCGACAATTTATAGTTGTTGGAAAAGTAATTTTGTAATTGTGTGGTCGTAACAAATTGCGGCAACTAACCAACTCGAAAATAGTCGCAATTTATACGTGGCGAAGTAGAGACTAAACTTTTGAGGTAAACAGCGGAGTACTTCAGGCTGAAACATAGTTTTCAAACTGGCCTAATGACTTGAGTTTCAGAGTCGACATCCACCCGAGCCGTCGACTTTCAGAAGTGGCCGTTTTCTATGGAAACTGTTCTCGGTTATAACGACTTCCATGAACCAATTATTACGCGATTAAGAATTACCGATGTGAACAGAACTGCACATATATTTTAAGTCTACTGTCATTGCAAATAAATAAAAGTACAACAAAAATACGGGCATGGAAGGGAAGAAAAAGTAGGGAAACAGCGAATATAAAGATTGGACACGTAAGATTAGATGAAATGGGTAATTTCAGGTATCTAGGAAGTTAGATAGGTCAGGACAGAAGAAGTAGTAGGGATATAAAGCAGAGGATAGTGCAGGGTCGAGTCGCCTTCAATAAAAATAAGTCACTTTTATGCTCGCGAACGGTTAATTTAGAAATTCGAAAAAGATTGTTAAAGGTGTATGTTTGGAGCGCGGCGCTGTACGGGTGCGAAACATGGACGATGGGCGCGGCGGAAAAGAAAAGGTTAGACGCGTTCGAAATGTGGTGTTATAGGCGAATGATGAGGATACCGTGGATAGAGAAGGTTAGAAATGAAGAGGTATTAGAAAGAATAAAACAGAGGATTCTATGGAAGTCAATAAGAAATAGGCGTGAAGCTCTAGTCAGAGACATATTAGAGGCAGAAACAAGAGTTAAGAGTAGTAGAAGTAAACCTAGATTAGGTTACTGTTCGCAAATAGTTAAGTCCAACCAGTCTTAGGACTGACGACCTTATGATAATGATGATTGTCATTCCGAAAATAAAGGAAAATATGTTAACTTTAACTTAACAAAAGCTTCTTCAGAAATGGCCAACCCATTGACTGTTTAGTCCTTTTAATTCACGTAGCAAAAAAATAGAATTTTGTGAGTTTTGAGATTGGGATATCAACCTAAAAGTTTCTCCATTCTAAAGTAATTCTCTGCCCAAAATTATTTTATCTGACAATGAGATGAAAGTGATTATTTTTCTTGCTGTTGGATCGCATTACGCGTACCTATGCAATCCTTTACAACAAAGTTCAGTAATACATGGCTGACCAAGTTTTGGTTTCGGGCCATTCCCGTTCAAGTTGTTTGGTAACCGAACTTCCGTTCAAGACATCCAATTTCCTGTACATATTGTTTCCAAGACATACCATATCCATCAGGACGGCTCCTGATTCTAGCCTCAAACTTTCCTTGTAGAACTTTAATAAACATAGTATGATATTATTAATTTAAACCTTAATAACGTATAGGTACCTACATGCATGCCTTAATTTAAGGCTTAGTACAATGAGTTGCTAGAACAACAGCTGCTGAAGTTCTTAAAGATACGTATTGCGGAATTTCTCGGAAAAAAAAACTACTTCTTTGCCGATATAATTTATATTTAATTAACGCCACTGTTTGCTCTGGCGTTAATCATGTCGGAACTGTGCAGTGGGACGGAGGATTCGAACTGGAATGAGACAAACGCAGATAAACTAACGGAATGTAGAGAGAGATAGAGGGTGGGGATCGTGCGAAATTAAAATTTTTAGTGCA